TCTGAGCTGTCAGCACAGAGCCCGATGTGGGGCTCGAACCCACGAACTGTGAGATCATGACCTGGGCTGAAGTCGGACGCCCAACCGACTGAGCCCAACTGACTGAGCCAAAATTTTATTTTCAAATAAGCTCTAACTCACAACCCTTGAGATCGAGAGTCGCATGCTCTACCGACTGAGCCAGCCAGGTGCCCCCCGCAAACCTTCAATTTTAAATACCTGTCTTTAATAAACAGAACTGGGGCTCCATAGAAAAATGGCCAATTCAAAGGCTAGGAGAGGGGAAACAGAAGATGAGCCCGGAGCATCTTGCATGCCAGAAAGTGAGCAAGTGCTCAAACACAAAAGGATAGGGACACATGAAAGGGACACAGGAGCCAATCTGAAAACGTGCCTCACTCGCACCTTCCCCTGGACGACCACCTGTTTTTTGCTTCTCGTCCTCCTAATGCTGTCGCTACTTCCTGCTTCCTTCCCCAGCCCGCCGGTCCCTGACCTACTGTCTTTCTTCATTTACCCTTGTCAGCAAATTCCTTCATTCCCAAAGGTCCTTAACTCTTCAGAATTTTGAAAATGATGGCATTTAAAAGAATAATCAATGATCCCGAATGAGTTTCATCCTTCTGCTCAATTTAAAACTCAGATGGCTTTACTGTTTAAGTCTGCCACTTAAGCTTTCTACTAGATGAAGGTACTTCTTACTTTACCACGAAATCAGGTAGTAAGTTCGAGCACAGAATCAAACAGTACAATGCAGAAAACCACGTTATAGGATCTTATTTTTAGGGGCGCCTAGGTGGCTCAGTCGGCTAGGTGGCCGACTTCAGCTCGGGTCGAGATCTCGCAGTTCATGAGTTTGAACCTGCTTAGGATTCTGTGTCTCCTCACTCTCTGCCCCTTCTCCGCTCATGCTCTGTATCTGTCTCAAAAATGAACATTAAAATTTTTTTAATGAATCATCTGGGGGCACCCACGTGGCTCAGTTGGTTAAGAGTTCAACTTTGGCTCAGGTCGCGATCTCACAGTTTGTAAGTTCAAGCCCCATATCGAGCTCACTGCTCTCAGTGCAGAGCCTTCTTTGGATCCTCTGGCCCCCTCTCTATCTGTCCCTCCCCCACTCTCACTCTCTAAAAAACAAATTCTAAAAAATTTATCAGCCTGACAGCTCGGAGCCTGGAACCTGCTTCAGAGTCTGTCTCCCTCTTTCTCTACCCCTCCCCACCTTGCGCGCTCGCTCTCTCTCTCTCTCTCTCTCTCTCTCTCTCTCTCTCTCAAAAAACAATAAATATTTTTTTAAAAACTTTTAAAAAGTCTCTAAAAATGAATACTCTAAGACACCTAAAGTGGCTCAGTCAGTTAAGCGGCCGACTCTTGATTTCGGCTCAGGTCATGATCTCATTCGTGAGACTGAGCCCAGAGGCAGGCTCTGTGCTGACAGTGCGGAGCCTGGAGGCTGCTTAGGATTCTCTCTCTCCACTCTCCCTGCCCCTCCCCCACTTGCACATGCACTGTCTCTCAAAATAAATACACATAAAAAATTAAAAGTAAAAAAATAAGTAATAATGAATAATCTAAGTCAACACATTTTTTAGACTCTGAAGCCTCTTAGACCAAATAGCAGTTAACGTGCTGAGGACAGTGCTGGCACCTGTCAGTCCCAAAAAATACAGGCTGAATGAATGCATGCATGCAAGCACTCTTGGGGTGGGATCATCAGGGACATTCGGTTTCTAGATTCTATAATACTTCAATTATTACGGAACATTTTTGTCTACTGCCTCCTGACCCCCCAAAAAAGGGCAGCAATAAAAGTATTTTTAAAGAGGCTCCTAAATCCAAATTGCAACTCGAGATTCAGGGTCAGAGAGACTGGATGTGGTAAGGAGAAGATCTGAAGTGCTATAGAGGCTGGGAGAGGAAGTGCCTGAAGTCTCCAGAACAAGGATAAATACCAAACCTTCTGAATGAAATAAAGAGACCTCCTTCCCCAGCTTTTCCACACAAGATTACATTATATGCTTCAAGACATTCCTGACTATTCTCCAATTTGTACCAACTGTGCTACATTCTCTTTGTATTTAGTACGAGATTCTTCTCTGTGAGCAACTTTATGCTTTAACTATTCCTGGCCCAGATTAAGGATAACTGGAAGACAAAGAGAAAATAGCCTATAGTAACCACCTAAATTTTTCATAACACCAAGTCAGATTTAACACACTAAAGGTCGAAACCAGTTACCTGTTGATTATTTGACCTTACATTTCAAAACCTACACTGTTTCTGAAGATGTTTTTTTGTACAATGAAACAATCCAGTGTCTTCACGTGAACGGAGAACGTCCTAGGCTAACTAAGAGGTATCTTACTTGGCTAACCAGGCTCTGATAACGCGGCTACAAGTCTTTCGATTCGCTGGCAGGTGCCATTTTGCAAAGCCGAGTTCTCTGGAAGGCAATGAACAGGGTAAAGCAGGCCTGTCTGCAGCGGAGCAGCGGGGCTGGTGAGGGGAGGGGAGAAGCACAGATCCCCAAAAGAGCAGTCTCATTTCCCTCCTCTCAGCGGATTTCTAATTAACTCAGCTTTGTGTCTGTTATGAATAGCTTCACATGGAAAGGCTCCAGTTCCACATTCTTCTTCATTATGCATGGCTTATTAAAATTGAAATCTCACTGTTTCCAACTCAACCAAATTGATGGTTCAAACTGCTGTGTGCAATGAAGAGTGAAGCATTTCGTTTAAAAGATGGGATCAGGGTAAAGACGGCCCGGATCAAAACTGGAACAGGCTGGAGACTTCGAGGCCTTCGGTTCCAAACCCGCCATGTGAAAATCCTGGGATTTGCCTGGGAAAGTCCTAACCTTTCCACGTGGCCGCTGCCCAGTCAGCCAGGCCAGGACGATGGCAGGGCGCCCATCCCCACGGTACCCTGTCCTGAGAAGTCAGAGTTGCGAAGTAGGGAGTGGTTTGAGAGAGGCCCTTCCTGGCTGGGAACAAGGTTCCCATTCCCAAACAGTGACAGTTGGCTCTCAGGGGCCCATCCCGCTCCAAAGGAGAGCGTAGGAGAGCTGCCCAGAGGAAGAAGACGGAAATCTGCCCGCCAGGCCCTCTGGGTCGCATACCTGCTCTTCTTCAATCCTGCGCTGTAGTGTTTCAATGTAATGCTGAACGGCCATGTAGATGAAGCGGTACTGAGCTTCCGTCTGGACCATCCCTGACCTCTGAGACCGCACCATCTGAATGGTCTTGGGAACATCGATGTCGCAGTCGACACCTGCAAAGCAAACACCATGAAGCACCGGGACAAACTGCAGGGCCCGGATGAAGACGCACAACTTTTGGCAGACGCAGAGATAAAGCAAATGTTCCCACTGGACGTGTTCCGAGGGCTACACTGGCCTTCTGGGCGATACAAATGATCCCAGAAGATTAGCTGAGAAGGTGTTGGAGGTCAGGAACCCCCCACTTTCCAAACGGCACCACCCCCACAACCTCCGCCAGGACGAGGGGCGTGGGCAAAGACCACCGCTGCATATTCAGCAAAAGACCACAGCACTAGGACCCACAGCTCCAAGGCTCCGTTTTATGTCGAGAGTCAAACAGAATCACGTTTGTTCCCTCGCAAACACACTGGAAGTCAAAGTCCTCAGCCTAGATTTTGTGAAAATGTCTTAACATTCGGATTCCCCCCTAGGCTATTTTCACCAGCATTTTCCTTCCATAAACTAAAAACAGGAACTATAGCTTCTTGCCCTCCAGATGACCTACCTTTCTCTCTGATGATGTCAATAAGGATATCAATCACAATGAACGTCCCTGTCCGGCCAATTCCAGCACTGTGGGTAGAAGGACAAAGCAATGACAATGGAGTCATTCATGGGGGTTTCAGACTCAAAACCAAGCTAGTAATATTAACAGAAACGATGTCTGCTCTTGGGAGTATTTATAAGATTGTCTATTTGTATTTGAGAATAGATTAGCTAAGAGGGCTTGGGAATTAGTCCAACCTATACTTGGAGCCCGGCTTCTCCTGTACAACGTGCCTGAGGCAAGTCCCATACACTCTGGGCCCTCAGTTTCCTCATCTGTGAAATGGGGATGATAGTATATGCCTTACAGGCTTGTAATGTGCATCAAACATTAGTAATGTATGGAAAACACAAAGCACAGAGGCCGGCACACAGCAAGTGCTCAATAAACAGTAGCTTTTTGTGTTTTAATTTTTTACTGTTTCCTTGTTTTTCAGAGAGGGAGAGAGAGAGAGAGAGACAGAGCGTGAGCAGGGAAGGGGGCAAAAAGAGAGACAGAGACACAGAATCTGAAGCAGGCTCCAGGCTCTGAGCTGTCAACAGACAGCCCGACGCTTGGCTCGAACTCACAAACCATGAGATCATGACCTGAGCCGAAGTTGGACGCTTAACCGACTGAGCCGCCCAGGCGCCCCAACAGCTTTTTAAAAAGGGAATTAAGTTTCACATGCAGCTACTTGTCCAACACATGGATGAGATCTGGGAAACTAAACTTGCCCCAGCAAAACCATGAAGCCCAGATGTGGGCACTAGAGGCTGTAAACTGTGGCGAGAGGCCATGGGCGTGGCCTTCGGAGGCCTGTGTGGGGAGTGGTCCAAAACCTTGAAAGTAAACAAGTATATTATCGGGAAAACATGCACCTTATTTCTGTGGCAGAAGAGAATACATTAAAGTGATGAATCCTAAGTCACTATATTAAAAAAGGAAACTGGGGGCACCTGGCTGGCTCAGTCGGTTGGGCATCCGATTCTTGATTTCGGCTCAGGTCATGATCTCATGGTTTGTGGGTTCGAGCCCCATGCCATGGCTGTCAGCACAGAGCCTGCTTGGGATTCTCTCTCTCTCTCTCTCTCTCTCTCTCTCTCTCTCTCTCTC